AATTTTATGTCTTATAGGGTTTATACTGAGTGCAATATTGTATAACTGTATTAATTCAACTGTGAACCTAAAAATTTACAGCCAATTTTGGAGGAGATGCATCCTTGCTCTGGAAATTCTTATTGAGTATGTCAATGCTGTTGTAATGAAATGCTTCTTCTAATTATGTGGTTATTAAATAATTTTTTAAAAAAAGAAATTACCCTTGAAAAAAAGATTTACCTAAGAGAAAAAAACTGAAGCCAAGGGGTTTATATCCAGAAAGACTGGCTTTTATCACTAGGGGGGATTAAGCAGGTCTCAGATGCCACAGCCAGACAGACACAGGCTTGGGACCAGAGCATGTGATGCTCTGAAAGGAAGTATGTCACCTGCAGCTATTACATTCACCTCTGCGGAGTCACCATTTCCTTGAGTTTCTCTGTAATTTCTATTCTCCTGAAATTCCCAGTGACAGTAAATTCTTACATAAAAGAGCATCCCTAAAACTCATTTTTACAGGCACATTCCTTCCTTCCCATCACTCCTTCTCTCTCTGTGCATGGGGAGATGCCAGGAGCCAGGCTGGCAGTAGTTATTTCTAGATTGTGGAACTGGCTTGATGGCTTATTTCAGTCTTTCACTCATCTGCATTAGCACTGGCCCCACCTAACTGCAGGGCCTATGAAAAGGGGTGATACAGAAACATGCTTAGGACAGACTTGGCATGGGTGTCTGAACAGGAGTCTTGGGAGTCTGTTGCAAGCAGCCTGGTTTAGCAAAACCAGCCTGAGACCTGAGAACCTGTGGCTTCTCAGCTCGCTGGGGAGGCAGAACTGTGTGCCATAGAGGGCACTCCACCAGGATTTACTGAGCCAAATGAGACCCAACCCAAACACTGCCAGTAAGTGTTGAACGAGCCATCATAGGTAGTGACCCTGTGTGATGGAACGAAGGGGAAATTGCATTATGGCCAGGGAAATGGCAGAAGTGTCCAGTTACTTATCAGACATTCTCCTGGGAAAACTGGACCCCAGCTCTCTCCAAAACCATCCAACATCTGGACAGCTGGGGTAAAGACCGTGTGGGTGGGAAACCTTCTTCCTCAAGGGCATGCATCCACAGATGCCCGACCTTCGTGATACAGCTGCAAGCTCCTGACTCTGTGTCCTCTTAGACTGGGATTCTTTTCTCGTAAAAAGAATAGGTTTCAGGGCTGGAGAGGTGGCTCAGTGGTTAAGAACACTGGTTGTTCTTGCAGAAGACCTGGGTTTGAATCCAGCACCCACATGGCAGCTAACAACTGTCCATAACTCCAGTCCCAGGGGATCCAACAGCCTCTTCTGACCTCTATGGGCATTGAATGACACAGGTACACTTACCTACATGCAGGCAATACATGCATACACACAAAATAAAAATGAAAACTTTTTTTAAAAAAAGAATAGGTTTCATGAGCTAAAGTCCTTGAAATTCAGACGCATCAGAGAGAAGCAGGACCCAGAGCATCTTACTGAAGGACTACTCATGAGTCTGGGGGACATGTCCCCGTCCTGCACTGATGCCACATATATCTGTGGAAATCATCACTACCAGCTATGCATCTTGCCCTTTAACTCCTTTAGAACTTTTTTAAAGATACATTTTTATTTATGTGTATATGTGTGTGTATGTGTGTGTGTGTGTGTGTGTGTGTGTATGTCTGTGTGCATGTAAACACAGGTGTCTACAGAGGCCAAAAGAGGGTGTTGGATCTCCTGGAACTGGAGTTCCAGGTGACTATGAGCTGCCTGACATGAGTGCTGGGAACTGAACTCGAGTCTTCTGTAAGAGCAGCGCGCGCTCTTAACTGCCGAGCCATCTCTTCAGCCCTGCTCTTTTCTTTCATTCAGTCCTGACACTATTCCCATAAGTAATAATGCCACGGCTATCTTTGTGGTGAATATGGTTTCTATATTTGAATGTATTTCCTTAGTTATGACTATGCCAAAAGCTATTAAAGCCCTTCACTACCGGCCTGGGAGCCCTCACCTGGATTAATCAGTCGGTACTTGAATTTCAAGTCGTTGCTTATGCTCAAGTTCTTCAAAAATATGTTTTAATCCACTGCAGTGAGGTCATCAATGTTGTAGTGCTGGGAGAACCTGCAACACAGATGCTCCTTAGAAATCAGAGAGACCTACAGCAAATCTGAGGACAGCAGCTCAGGCTCGGGGGCCCTGTGATCCAGGGCTACACTGATTTTCATGGATGTTTCTAGCTACAGCTGGCTTTAAAAAAGAAAACCATTGGAAATATTGGATTTTTTAAACGTGTATTTTGTGTGAAGGAAAGTTCTGCCTGCATGTATCTAAGTGTACCAGTGTTGTACACTACCCATGAAGGCCAAAAGAGGGCATCAGATACTCTGGAACTGGAGTTAGAGCCGGTTGTTAGCTGCCATGTGGACCCTGGGAACTGAACCCAGGTCCTCTGCAAGAACAGCCAGTGCTCTTAACCACTGAACCATCTCTCTAGCACTATTGGATTTTTAAAATGTGCATGCTTGGGGCTGGGGAGATGGTTCAGTCAGTCAAGTGACAACCAGAGTTCCATCCCTGGAACCTGTACAAAAAAATAGCAAGCATAGTGGTACATTTGTAATTCCAGCACTGGGGAGGTGGAGGCAGGAGGAGGCAGGCAGATCCCCGAGGCTCACTGGCCAGCCAGCCTAGCCTAGTTGGTGAGGTCAATGAGAGACCTGGTCTCAAAAAGAAGATGGACGGCACCTGCACACACACACACACACACACACACTGTATGCACACACATGCACCACACACAGACACTGCATGCACGCACATTGCACACATAAACACACACTGCACGCACACACTGTATGCACACACATGCACCACACACACTGCATGTATACACATACACACGTGTACCCACACAAACATGCACATACATAGACACATACACAAAAATGCAGACATTTGCAAGAAGATCACCTCTTCAGCCTGCAGAGGGATGCAGTCAGAAAAAACCTGACACAACATCCGGCCTCTGGGGATGCCCCAGCCACACGTCCTACAGAGCCCTTCGCTTCCCTGATGGGAGAAGAGAGGGCACCCTGACCCAGGACCCAAGCAGCTACCTCCCCACCAGACAGCAGAACAATGCCACCTTCCCATAAGAAGTAGACAGACAAGGAGCCAATCAGCTTCGTATTTCTACAACCAGGGAGTCCAGAGTGTGAGGGGCAGGAAATGGTGCACAGGTGACCACTTTAACTGACAGCAGCATATCGCCTTGCCAGGAAGAGGTCGTGGCCCACAGATGGTACATGGTCTCAAAAACAGCAAATGGTGGAGGGAGCCAGGTTTTTCTTGAAGCATTTCTGGTGTTTACATATAACAAGAAATCTTCCATTTGTTTTGCGACAGGGTCTTGCTATGTTACCCAGATTTGTCTTAAACTTATGATCCTCTTGTCCTGGCCTCCCAAATGCTGGAGTTATAGATGTGGGTCACCATACTGGCTCATAACCAGAAAATTCAAAAACACACAGAACACCTGTCTATCTCTAAATATACTGAGATAATAGGATGCCTTGAGTGTTAATGGATTTTCTATTATTCAGATTGCTGTGCAATAAATATTTTCTAGATGATTTCTGGGTCATTATACATTTCTAAAAAATTCACAGTTTCTAAATGTTTGGTTATAGTATCTCCATATGTGTTGGTTTCTATAATTATCTAATTTTATGCTTTCTAAAAAATTGGTAATTATTACTTAAAGTATTTGTTATTTTTCTGTTTTCCAGATTCCACAGAGAGTAATGTCATGTACTCATTTTCAATGCACACCTATTTTCCACTCTGCTGGAGTTTGCCTATTGTTCTAATAAGAAGAATTGTCTTGAGAGATGACAGCTGCCAGATGTTAACACAGAAGCTCCCTAAACAGTCCCCGTTTTCTTGCTCAGTCCTGGTCCTGTGAAAATAGGCTGTAAGCTTGAGACCCAGAAGGTTCCGCCTGCCGGCTCACTCCTATCTGGGTCCAGTGTGGCAGGAAGCGTTGGCCAGACACTGCTCCAGCAAAGTGGGGGAACTGGTCAGAGACACGCTCGGCCCTGCAGAATTCCATGCACTCAGCATCCCAGCAGCCTGGGCTTTGCCTACAGAAGAACCCCAGCTTGTGTGAAGGCCCTGCATGCCGGTTGCACACACATGGAGGACAAACAGAAGCCCATAGTAGTGTGTCCTGCAGAAGGACTTCAGAGATGAAGCTTGGCACTGCCCACGAAGGCAGGGTCTTAAAAGGCTTCAGGCAGGGCTGGGAGATGGCTCAGTTGGTAAAATGCTTGATACCCAGAGCTGGGAAGGTGGAGAGGGGCGGACCCCTGGGGCTCCCTGGCCAATCTACCCTGAACTGTAAGTCCCAGGCCGCAATGACTGAACAGCTCCTGAGGAATGGCAAGGTTGGCTCCTGGCTTCCACACGCTCCTATGCTGGATTTAAGGAGAAGGAAGGGTACCAGGCAGCCCATGAACCTTCCCAGCTTCCAGGCACAGGCAGGCTGAGAGGGCAGGCTCACCTTCAGGAGGATGTTCATTTACAGGGCTGCTCAATGACTTCACACAAATTTAAATACTTCAGCCTGAAGAGAGATGGAGGTCAGGGTGGAGTGGGGAAGGAAGGGAAAATCAGAGTGTGTGGGTGGTAGGGACAGTGCTGATGAAGCCTAGTGGCAAGTTCGTCTCTGGCCTTGGGTTTTGTGTAGGCTGAGGGGTGCTCTACAGCCAAATGACAGCTGACTGCTGAGGAGTAACAGCACTCAAGGCTATTACAATTGTCACATAGTCCCATGAGGTGAGACCCAGCTACATACAGGTGCCCCACGAGCTTACCACACACATTGCATCACCCAGTGTGGTGGGTTTCTCAGTACCTATCTGTGTGTGTGTGTGTGTGTGTGTGTGTGTGTGTGTGTGTGTGTAGGGGCATGTGCGCATGTACGTGTGCACATGTGTGCAGAGGCCAGAGGATAACCTCAGCTACGCCATGCAACATTTCTGTTGTTTTGTTTTGTCTTTTGAACAAGGGCCTCTCACTGGTCTGGAACATGCCAAGTAGACTAAGCTGGGAGCCAGCGAGCCCCGGGGACCCACCCATCTCCACCTCCCTAGACCTGGGGTCACAGCACATGCCACTATGCCTGGCTCTTTTTTTTTTTCTTTTTTAAAAGTGGGTTCTGGGAACAAAACTCAGGTCCTCATGCTTGCAAGGCAAGCCCTTTACCCACTGAGCCATCTCCCCAGTCCGAGCACATTTCTTGAAGAGAAAATTGAGTCTTGGGAACCTCCTGAGATTCTAGAACTGGGGAATGTACAGCACAGCCCTGACCCCATGTGTACCTGACCTCAGAGCCTGGCACTCCTATCACACCAAGTGCCCAGTGTGATCCTAAACAGGAAGCTGCTAGATTAACATTTTCAAAATGCACATGTTTCCTGCTCCAGAACTGAAACATCAGAGTCAATACGGAGTCACCCCAGACAGCATCTTCTCCAGCCTCAATAAGGAAGCAGCCACCCCCACTCCAGACAGCGTCTTCTCCAGCCTTGATAGGGAAGGCATTAAAACCACTAAGGAAACTGTCTCCTTTGATTTTCTGAGCGTCTGCAGGAAACAGTTCTATTATGGGAAGTTTTCTAGGCCATAGCATGAAAACTGCATTGTTTTTCAGACTTAAAAGAAATCTCGAATAAAAATTTGTGGAGTTCTTTATTATTCAATACTTAAGAGGTGGGGAAACAGACAGCAACATTTTTTTATAGATTTACTAGGTTGGAGACTGCGGTGCCAAGCACAAGGTCTATTGTCAAATAAAAGCCTGCTTTGTTTTTTGATTGCCTGTTTTGGAAGAGTGCTTCCTCTGGTCTATAATTGCACCACAAAATTATTTAATTTGTTTTGTTTGGATCTTATTCTGGACACTTTCCCAGCCAGAAAGGATGTAAAAATTAAAACATCTATTATGCCTTTTATATTCCGAGGTAGGTTATAACGAGGAAGAAAGAACAGGAAAAATATTCGAGGGTGGGAAGTAGCCAGTTTCTGAAATCTCTAGTTGTGAGCCCCATCCAAGCTATGGGCATGTGCCTTCTGTGCTTCCTCATCCTGGGGCGAGTCCCTCTAACTGCCTGCGGCTGTGACCTTATCTTTAGGAGTATGTCAGGAGCTGCAGCAACCCCTCCCTGTAACAGCAGTTTATAACTCCAGGGCAAGGTGAGCTCTTCACTCATAAAGGCTTGGTGTTTGGTGAATGCCTGGAGGGTTCAGTGGTCCCCTTGGCCACAAGGTCCCCCTTGGCCACAGAGACATGGTCCAAGGTCCACCAGAGGACACCTGAAATTACAAATGATACTGAACCATCTGTCTATATCTCCATCCAAATCTATGTCAATATCTATACAAACATATATACACATATACATATATACATATGTGTGTGATGTATTATGTATGAGGGCTTTCCCTATATACACATCTTATAATGTTTAATTTATAAGCATACTAAGATTAACAATATCTAATAACAAAATAGAACATTAAAATAGTATACTATGTATACTAGATATCCAGAATGCATGAATTGTTTATTTCTGAATTCTTCTACTGAATACTTTTGGACCAGTGAACTGTAAGTAACTGAAGCCCCAGGATGCAGACCTGAGCCAAGGGCAGCTGCTATGCATAGAGGTTAGGAAAGGTCAGGGAGGGGGCACCCTCTCAGTGGGTACTTCATAGAGAAGCTCCTCAGGATCCTCACTCAAAACACACAGATCAGGAGCCAGTGTCTGGTTTCTAACAATCTCAAGTTCCCTAAGTGGTGCAGGCACACACCCATGTGCACAGTCTGAGTCAGGAGCAGGTGGTGGCAGCTGGCAAGCACCAGGAGGCAGATGAATGCCCTGTGTTGCTCCCCATTCTCTATCACAACCTGCTGCCCCCAGCAACATCTTCAAAGGAAAAGGTGTCTCTGGCATTGCATGAGGAGGCAGAGCCCACAGTGGGCACAGCAACAGATGAGGGAAAGCTGACTCTGGTCCTCACCCCAGGCCTGGAGCCAAACTCACTATGAACTGGAAATACATGGGATGGGGATGGTGTGCCAAGCAGGAAAGAGCGGCAGCTAGTGATGGAGCAGTCAGTAGCGTGTTCAAATCTGCAGGCAGGATGGCTGCGTCCATCCCAGGGTGCTCAAGGAATAAGAAACATTAGGTCCCACTTTTGAGGATTCACATCTTCAGGAACTTGGGAGAAATGCCCCAAAAGAAGGCAAAGAGGGGATGGATGGATGGATGGATGGATGGATGGATGAATGGATGGATGGATAGATGGGTGGGTGGATGGATGGATGGATGGATGGGTAGATGGGTGGGTGGATGGATGGATGGATGGATGGATGGATGGATGGATGGATGGGTGGGTGGGTGGATGGATGGATGGATGGATGGGTTGGTGGGTGGCTGGGTCAGTGGGTGGATGGGTGGGTGGATGGATGGGTAGGTGGATGGGCCCAGCCACCCACAACTGTCATGTGAACCTGGCTGCAGGATCATCACACCCTCTCCAGCCTGTCACTCACATCTTGTACTCCTCCTCCCTCATCTTTAGACAAAACGTTTCCAGAACCCGTCTCAGCTCATGGGACTGCACCATGCCTGTGCTGTTAATGTCGAGGAGCTTGAAGGCTTTCACGATTGTCTTTATGTTTCGGAAAATCTGTGGAACAAAAGGTAATTTCAGAAAAGTCAAGAGACCCAATGTTAAAAACCCAAATGGTGATGAGATACATGATTTTTTACTACTTCTTGTAAAATAAAATGTTTTCAAAGATTCTCAGTGGTACACATTGCAAGATGACATGTCTTTGGAAAAAAAGAGAATACTTTGCATATATTGGATGTTTTTAAGGCAATTTTCTCAGTAAATGGTCTCAGTAAGTTAAAAAAAACTCTTTCTAATGTAAAGCAGTAAGTCTCATACACAATTCATTCCTTTTTAGGGCTGTATGAAAAATCTTTTTTGTTAATTGATGCTGAAAAGCGAGTCCTGGCATAGCTGGACTTCTGCATTTTTGTTTTTCTTGGCCATATGCGAACTATTTTTACTACGAGCTGGAAAATATGACGGTATATTTCAACTTCTTTGAATTTTTTTTCAAAGATACCATAGAAAAGTTTTATAGTGACCTTGTCCAAATTCAGCAAATGAGTTGATGGGATGGGACTGTGGGAGGAGGCTGGTGAGTTCCGGAGAAGCTACGAGGGTGGGCTAGGAGCCGAGTCTTCACACCTATGAGATTTCTATTGGGGTTTGCCTGAGCACCCACAGAGCCCCACCAGTGAGAGCTCCCACCCCCACTACTTCAGCACTTTCAAATATGGAAACTGGGGTTCAAGGAGGCCTCACTGTGTACGTCAAGCATGCACACAGCTAGACAACAGCACTTCCAACCTGAGCTGTGCTCTGCTCTCCCCTGATGGAAAGTGCAACCTACAAGCACATTATCACCAAACTGGGGAGTGGGAGTGAGGGCCAGACATGGTGGGGGGGCAGAGGCATGGGCCTTCGGAGAGGAGCGGGAACAGCCAGCCAGTGCAACCTGGCAGGCATCCTATTGGGTGGCACCTAAGCAAGCAGGGATGACCGCTGGCCGACCCCCACTACAGTGTGGGGACGGGAGGACATTAGCACTGCTAGCAGAGAAGGCAAGGAAGAAGGGCTGGATTCTCAGGGTCTGATTCTGCACTAGGGGAATGGATCAAGTGAGTCCAGGTTGCTAGGAATTCTGCAGGCCTTGAGGACTGAGGAGGACCACTCCCTCTCCTTGAGGACTGGGGACTGGGGAGGAAAACTCCCTCTCCTTGAGGTCTGGGGACTGGGAAGGACCACTTCCTCTCCTCACCCCTTCCCCTGGCATTTTCCCTACTTGTCCCGTCTCACAGCCTCTCCAGTCTCTGGCCCAAGGAGCCATAAGCTGGTGGGGTGGCGGCCTCCTCCCTGTAGCCACATCCAAGCCCTTGCCCTTGCCTTGTCCTGGAAGCTTGTGCCTCCACCTGTTGCCCTACCTCTTCTTACTGCAGTCACCAGGAAACCCTCTGTCCCTCTCCAGCTGGGGTCAAGAGAGCCCTGTGTTCATGCAGCCACCCAGCCCACACCTGAGCTTCCAGCCCTCATCTCCTCACCTCTGAAGGCCATGGCTCCCATTCAAGCTTTGCGCCTTCTTAGAACCAACAGCCAACTCTGCAAGATCGAAGCTGTGCTTGACCCCCTACTTTCCAGCGCACTCCCTTAAATGCCCAAAGTCCAAACCTCCCAATCATGCCCCACTATGCCAAGCTGGCCGCTTGCTTGGTAGAGAATGCAGTCAACCCTCCACCGTCCATCCCTCTGGGCCCTTTACCTGCAGCTCCAACTATCTCACTCCTCGGCCTCCCTACCTGTCCCTCCTCATCTGCACTCCTCAAATAAGTGTTCCCCCTCTTCCCCACCTCCTCAACCCTGAATGAATCCAACTCATGGTCCATTCCAAACTCCTTTTTTAAAAAAATTTTTATTTTTATTTTATGTGTATGCATGTATTGCCTACATGTAGGTAAGTGCACCCATGTCGTGCAATACCCATGGAGGACAGAAAAGGCCGTAGGATCCCCTGGAACTGGAGTTACAGACAGTTGTTAGCTGCCATGTGGGTGCTGGGATTCGAACCGGGACTTCTACCAGAACAGTCAGTGTTCTTAACCGCGGAGCCATCTCTCCAGTCCCCCAAACTCCTTTTCTTTGTTTTTTTGTCTTTTTGAGACAGGGTCTCCCTGTAGCCCCAGGCTGGCCTTGAATTCACAAAGATCCGCCTGCCTCTGCCTCCCAAGTGCTGGGATTAAAGGCGTGTGCCACCACGCCCGGCCCAAACTCCTTTTTTAAAAAAGATTTTTGATTATGTGTCTGTATGTGGGGTGGTACATGGAATGCAAGCGCTTGCAGAGGCCAGAAGTTCCCAATGCCTTTGAAGAGGGAGTTACAGGAGGTTGTGGGTCACCTGATTCGGGCTCTGGGAATCAATCTCCAGTCCTCTGCAAAAGCACTCCCTGCTCCCTAACTCAGACCACCCACTCCACCAGAACTGGGTGCTGCATGCCAATCCTCTGCCACTGTGGTTCATGCACACACACACACACAAGCACACATGCACATGCATACACTTGCACACACACAAACCACTCATAAATCTATTTCAACTTTTAACATTTGTCATTGCTGGGGATGGCACCCAGGCCCTTGCACATGCTAAGTGAGCATCTCCCGCTGAGTCACACCCTGGCCCATTTCTACTGTCTTCACTCACTTCCCTCACTTCCCAATCATGCCCCATCATGCCAAGCTGGCCACTTGCTCGGTAGAGAATGTAGTCAAACCTCAAAACTCAGGGCTCTGGGTCCCCCGTGCACAGTCTACCCGGCTCAGTGTCCACAGGCTGTGCCCCATTCTGGTCCAAAGGATGGATCCCACACAGCTAAGAGGACACAGGACACACATGGCCCTGTCCCCTGCGAGATCCCAGGAGGGGAATACCCCTCCTTGACCCTCAGTTCACCCATCAAAGGAGCAAAACAGCCCTGTCCTCCCTTACCTGCTCCCCAGTCCTGTGTCCTTTTACAGAAACCCCTCCCCCAAGCTATCACCCACGTGGTGCCTCGTTCTTAAACCTGCCCAGTCACTCTTACCCTGCCACTTCGCAAACCCACAGGCTCCAGAGCCAACGGCACTCCTCAGTCCTCACCTCACCATCCCCACAGAGGCATCTGACATGCTTTCTTTCTGGAAGCACTCACAACATGGTTTCCAAGCTCTCATGCCCAGTCCACCAACCTCTGGCTTCTCCCCCTTGTCTGTCAATTCCAGGCCTGCAGTGCCTTGGGACTCACCCACAGAGCCCCCTCCCTAATGTCTAGTCCTGCACTTCACTCCTTATCTGGTGACTCCCACACATCTGTCTCCACCCTTGCCCAGGTGAGGACACCCAACTGCCTATCTAACATCTGCTGGGAGACCCCTCAGATCTTCTACACCTGAACTGCTCTTCCCATAACCTCACACCCTACGAATGGCAAACCTACCCACTCTACTCTTCTACATCCATCTGGAGAGCTCCTTAGCACTTCCTAAACGTCCAGAGTGGCTGCCTGCCCTCACATGGCTACAGGGCACCGTGGCCTCTCCCTGGTCTCCCAACTCCACACCTGTGCCCACACAGTGGCCAAGGTGCTCCTGTGTGTATGTACTGCCCTGCTCACACCAGCCCCCAGGGGCTCCAACCATTGGACTCAAAGGCAGAGTCTTGTGTGGCCCAGCAGGTCCCACACACCCACCTCCACTGCGGCCTCACTGGCTGATTTCTGGCCACATGAAACCCATTTCTCTTGAGCGCTTGGCAACTGCTGCCTCACCTTCCCCAAGGGCTGCACATGGTGCACCTTCTGTCCGGAACGTTCTCCCCAATACCTACCATCCTTCTTTCAATCAAGAGTTGACCTAAATGTCACATTGTCAGACAGGCCTCAGGGGAGCACTTTAGAAACAGGGATGCCCAAGCACCCAGTGTTCCTCAGAGGACCTGAGGCTGCTCACAGGATTCTTGTCGGTCTTGCTGCCCTTGCCCCTCATACCATTAACTCCACTGAGGCAGAGCTGTTCCCTGCTGGTCCCTGGGGTACAGAGCAGCACTGGGAGAAGCAAGCAGCACACATGCTCAGGAAACATTTACTGGTAGGAGTAAGTGGATCTGTCTCCTTCCTACCTACCTGGAAAAAAGGCCGTATGCTAAGGCCGCCTGTAACCTATCTGAAAAGGCCTCCAACCCTCCAGGGCCAGGCCCAGCTAGAACTTCATAACCATGACATTCGCTTGGTCTTGAGGTGATGACACTCATAGGATCCCTGGTTGACTGGATGTCTGTTACATGAAAAGCCACATACTAAACTCTCCACAGCCTACCCTCTTCTAACAGAGCACACGGACTACCCAGACTATCTCCCAGACAGTGACTGCCAAGTGTGGACCAACCTCATACATTCATCCACCTTTCGCTACACCACTGAGTCTAAGCACGGAGCCCCAGACACCAGAGCAATTGCTCCAGGGCCAAGGAAAACCACAGCACCCTGTCTGCCGCTAAGTCCCTGTCCACCTCTTCTGGGAATGCGGAGGAGGGCACAAGTGACACACTGCTTTACAGCCCCACAGCAACCCATATGGTGTGTGTGTGTGTGTGTGTCCCCGGCGTGGAGTGCTCTAGTTGCAAACCTGGCACGGAGCTTACGCCCACCAGAGGTACTTCTCCAAGTCCCTTATCACTTGTCAGATGGAAGTTTGGCACAAGCCACAGAATGGAGCGGCAGATGGCAAAGCTTATCAAAGGCAGCAGAGTTAGGGCCCTGGTGTGCAAGACTGCTGGGTACCCAGTGGCATGAAGACCAAAGGAACAGGATATACGATGGCTGTCGGCCAGCAATGGGACCAAGCCCCACTCACCCCAGCCCCAGCCCTACCATCACCCTCAGGGTCCTGCTGGTGAATGACTTGAAATTCCGGCACATCAGGGGCTCTTCTCCCGTACTGGACCGTTCTAGCCTGTTCTCGCCCTTACTCTGCCCTGCTCCTCCCCTCTCACTGTAGTAAGTTAGTTCAGACTTCACTCTTCCGTAGTTCTGGTCTCCTCTCCT